GTTAGCCACAGTGCCAGAGAGGGGGATGGCAATGCTCACAGCGGCTGAGGATGAGCTGGAGAACTCCTGCCAGCCAGAGGAGGACGAGGAATATGTTTGTCTGCCCAGTAATGGAAGCACAGAGCAGGAGGAAGAAGACGAGGAGGAGGAGGAGGAATATGTCAGTTTTCCCACTCATGGAATACAAGAACAGGCGGAGGAAGAGGCAATGGATGAGGAGCAACAGGTTCTGTGTGAAGGTAGTCTGTGGCCTTTGTGATCAAGGGCACTCTCTTTTGTGCTCTTGTTTGTTCTTCCTAGTCTGTGCATTGCTTTGTGCGGTGTATCTGGCCTTTGTTGCAGCGATTCCTCTGTCTTAATCCATTCATTCTGAACTGATGTGGATTTTGGAAGGGATTATTGATTATTGAATAGTTGTGTAAACTTTTAAGAGGCATTGTGTCACCTGTGGGCTGTGGTTTTATCCTGCAGGCGCAGTCCCTCATGTTAGTGTGGTATCTGGTCTCCACACAGCGTGGTTTATCTGCCTGCTAATTTAACCTGTTCAAATATGGGCTAGGCTCTTTATCCCAGCTGTCACTTCAATGTTGTATGTTACATGGCAGCATGCTACAGTTTCACATGTTTTAAAATGCTCAGATACTCAAAATTGATAGCTTTGGGTTTATTTTCATGGATGAGTAACCATCCTGACATTTTGGACAGGGACTGATGTCAACACATAAAGATGTGTATTTTGAGAGATCTGAACATAAACTCAGCGTTCTGTAGCAAGGAAGGAAGGAGTCATGTGTGATCTTAAGTGGGGTTTTATTACAACATAAGTGTTTCTGCATATGCACAGCCAACCATGATTGGTCATTTTGTGTGCAGTATTGTATATATGAAGTATCTCATATAATCCATGAAACTCAGATGTTACTATGGCGTGAACATGTTCTTATTAGTGGCAGTATAAATGAGTATAAACTTAGGTCCAAAGACAAAATGGTACTCAGTTACAGTGTAACCAGTTGCATTACATTTTTGCAGTCCTAAACAATCTAAGAGCTGTTGAGTCAGTTGTCTTGGTATTCAGTTGCTGTCTTTGAACCTGTGTGTTGTCAGGATTATTAGGCTGTACCCCCAGACTTCTTGCTCCATTAGTGTCTCTGCTGCAAAGTAGACAGAAAACCAGGAGAGTCTGGTGATCTTGGTGGATGCAGGTGAAAAGGTGACAGCATTTCTGTCAGATAATGCACCACCTCTTCACAAATTCTTTGGTATTCTAATGTTTATTTATTTTGATTGCATTGGAACAAACAACAAAGCCAAATCTGATACATTCCACAGAGAACTCCAAAAATGGACTGGACAGGTTTACTGACACCTTTTCAAAATCATCAAATTGTTGAATTTCGAGCATGTGATGCTGCTTTAATTTGTAGTGATACTCACCTGTAGCAACCAACAGGTGCTGGCAATACAGAAATCACACTTGCAACCAGTTAAAATGGAGAAAAGTTGACTCAACCCTTGTGTCATGTGGACCACACTAAGCACAGAGAAAAGAAAGAAGAGCAAAGAATTGTCTGAGGATTTGAGAACCACAGTAGTGGTAAAGCCTGGACAGTCTCAAGGCTCCAAGTCCGTCTCCAGAGATGTGGCTGTTCCTGTGTCCACTGTGTGCAACACTGTCAAGACGTTTACAGCCCATGGCGCTTTAGCTGGTCTCCCTTAACGTGGATGAAAGAGAAAACAGATGACAGATTGCAACCAAGGATTGTTCGAATGGGGGATAAAGAACCTTGATCAACTTCCAAACAAATTCAAGCTGACCTGCAGGCACAGGGTGCAACAGTGTCAGCTCATGCTATCCGTCACCATCTGAATGACAAGGGACGCTGTGGTAGGAGACCCAGAGGGCCTCACTGGTGACACGGAAACATAAAAAAGCTAAACTGGAGTTTGCTAAAACCTTCTGGGAGAATGTCCTGTGGACAGATGAGACTAAAATGGAGCTTTTTGGTCAAGCACATCATTCTACTGTTTTCAGAAAACAAAATGAGGCCTTCAAAGAAAAGAACACGGTCCCTACTGTCAAACGCCAAACTGGCACTACGACTGCAAAGAATGCAGTGACTTAGCCTCAGTCAAATGTCTTATTTTTTATGATTTCTTCACCTGATGTAACATTTCTTTTATACCAATGACCATATATCTGGAGCTTGCTAACACAAAATGATATTTAAGGTACTTACAGATACAGTCCTGACCAAAAATATTGGCACCCCTGCATTTCTGTCAGATAACACACCACTTCTCCCAGAAAATTGTTCTTTTCTTTGGTATTCTCATGTTTATGTCTTTTGTTTGCATTGTTTGTTAAATCCCATAGAACACCCATGGAGAGGTCTCAAGACGGCAGTTGTGAGAAGAAACCTTTCAAATCTGAGCGAACTGGAGCAGCTGGCAAAAGAAGAGTGGTTCAAAGTTCCAGTAGAGAGGTGGAAGAAACTCACTGATAGTTACAGGAAGTGACTGATTTAAGTTATTTTGTCCAGAGGGTGCACTATCAAATATTAAGGTGAGGGTGTCAATAATTCTTCAGCCCATTTCTAGAGTTCTGTGTGAAATGGATCAGAGTTGGCTTTTCTCTGCTTTTTTTGTGTTGCTCCAGTGCAAACAAAAGAAATAAACATGAGAATTCCAAAGAATTTGTAACAGCAATTGTCTGGAGAAATAGTGCATTATGACAGAAATTCAGGGGTGCCAGTATTTCTGGCCATGACTGTATGTCCTTCCTCTACCCTCTGTGTGATAAGGAGATAGAGGCTTCATCTGTCTTAAGTTACCTGTTTTTGTAATATTAGGTTACACATCCTTTTACACAATCCAGGTTCCAGTCTGTAACATTTGCCAAGTTCTCTGATATAACTGAAAGACCAGGAAGTTCCAATATTTTTCTTAATGATTACCAAAGTGTACACGATTTCTGGATGTTTGTTTTTGTTAAGCTAGTCTAGTGTCAATGTGTTGTCATTGCTAGTTAGTTAGGGTTAGTCTTGTCTGATGTGTTTCCATGGCTGCCTCCCTCTCAACCTGAATACTATATATAGTACTAAACAAAGAGAAAATATCACCACTTATGAAGCGCTCTGTAGGCAAATGTTTTTATTAGTCACTTAGTTCACCTTAATTGCCTGATCTGGGTGGAGTGGTATGATGGCAATAAACCACCATTTCTTTTTTTAAAGGAAAGCACACACACCCACAGAAAGTATGACAGATAAACAGGCTGCACCTTGTATTATCAAGCATTCAGTCTTATGTGCATGTGTGCATGCACATGGACACGTTTTGTTTCCTTGTGATCATTAAGCTGAACTGTTTCCTATTTAACGCTGTGCCTTCACCGCTCACCCAGGAGAGGCAGTTTTTTGTGCATGGTCACACTAGTTTCTTGTTAAACCTAATCTTTTTCAGCTTGTTAAAGTAGAATCTCTTTAGTATGTCAGTATTTGCAGTGGCAAGTTGTTTGACATGTGAAGCGTTCATGGAAGGAAATCTTAAACCCCAAACCACCTTAGACATCTTATGGTAACCCATGTTCAGGTTTGTTTGATCAAATAAAATGTCTCTGTGCAGCTGCTCATTTAACTTTTGCCTGTTTAGAAAGGAGCAACTTATTTATTTAATAATGGATAGTAATGCTGGAAAACATCATTAACTAAAGCCTAGCCAGCTGAGGTCTTGTGTCTTGGCTGTGTCTGTTTCCAACAGCCAGAGACTGTTTGTGTTGTATGAGGACATGATAGTATGACGTTTGCATTGGCCAACTCTGTTTTGCATTGTGTGAGGCCTCTGACTCAGTGCTAGGACTGTGTGTCTGGCATGATATTTATATGACACATTAAGATAATATTGGGCATTACACCCCCAGAGAGTGTGACATTGCAAACATTCTCTTTCCAACTGGCAGTGTTAAACCTGACAAACATCCACATTCTCCGATATACAATTCAAGCCAAGTCATTTTATCTAAAGTGATGAGAATGTGAAAACCCACTGGACAACAAATTTACTAATGAACCAAGAACAATAACGGTTATGGAAACTAGTTACTCTGAAGGAGCAGACAGTAGTTGTTGTTTTGGCTGGAATGAGCCTCATGGGTGTTCTGCCCTGGACAAAGGGTTATAGTTACATGTAATACATTCTACCAGCGAGATCCTGTTTGAATTTTGACCTCTGAGCGGAGTCATTCTTCCACTGAAAACTGATTACCATGGCATTTGAAGTCAGAGCTCTGTGTGAGGATGGAAGGAGGTGATAATGAGCTTGTGTTCAGTGCAGGGGTGTGTGGCACTGTGTTTGAATTCAGTAACTTATCTTGTGTGAATCACCTGTGAGGCTGATGAATAGTGGACTTGTATGCAGCTCTAAGGCGTGTATGAATTTAGTATGTGGGTGCAGAGTCGAATATGACTCATGAAGTTAGAATAAGAAAAGAGGGATTTGTTTGTCAGTGATGAAAATCTTATGTAATATAGTTTGATAATGTGGAATTTACACTCAAACAAATGCAGTCCACCTTATTTAAATCAATGGGGGTTGAGTAAATATTAGAAACCTGAGGATAACAGTACAGCAGTAGAAAGTACAGTCTCCAGAATGATCAGACAGTAAAATCAACATCCTAAGCTGCATCGCCTGTTTTAGAGAGGTGCTGATTTAACTGTATGATTACTTTGGAAGATGTAGTTTGTGCTGCTGTTCAAAAGTATAGTGTTATGCTGACAGGTGTTTTGTCACTTCTGTTAGTTTGTTCATCCTCTTGGCATCAATGAGGCTCCCTGTATAAAGCAGTATATAGGTGTATACGACAACTCTACAGTACAGTTGGTTACAGTACTATATGGTTACAAATTACTCTTATTATTGCCTGTCCATTAATCTTCTTAGTGAAATTTTGTACTGAGCCTTAAAGTCTCTTTTTCTTCCTTCCTGTGTCTGTGCAGTGCTGTGTGCTGACAGAGTGGGCCAGATGACGAAGACCTACAGCGACATTGACGCTGTCACTCGACTGCTAGAAGAGGTAATATCATGAGAGATATACATGCACCAGCCATTAGGTACACCTGTACAATCGTATGCAATTCAATGCAACACTTCCACCTTAACATCTGTGTTTATGAAGCTCAAAATATTTCAGTTTTTGGTGACATTGTCATAAATGTATAAATTCAATTATATGGTTATTATTGCGGTCCTAGTTAAAGGTGGTGTTGTACTGGACTACATTATATTCCTAATATTCTGACCCTCTCACATATGTAGCTGGGGAGGACAAAAATATAGAGACACTTCTAAAACATATTAAAATGGCTGGTGAGTGTATGTTAGAGCTGAAACACAGAGGACTACTGTTCATGCAGACACTGTAGCACTTTGGTCAAGTATTATGAGGTCTGTTAGTCTGAACACAGTTTACTTTGTGAGGTTTATGGCACAGAAGGTTTGATAAAATGATGCCATAAAACTCACTTCCAGCTGCTATTCAAATCTATCTGATTCACATCAGCTGTTCGGTGGACCAGATGGTGTCAGGCAGGACACTGAGGAGCTCAGTCGGCTTCCTCTGCATAAATAAAAACTATGAAAATTGAAAGATGTCATTGTAAAGTGCAACGTGATATTAAACAGCCAGCTATCCAACTGTTAACTAAACATGGTGTTAACAGATTTCTGACCATTAAAAGCCTAAAATTAAATGTATTCACCATGTAAGAAATCATTTTGCTGATCACGTTTGCTGCGAACATTTTTCTTCCTTTGGTTGACGGTGTATTAATATTCACTATTCAGATCGGTTTAGGTGTGAGCTTGCCAGTTGCTTTTTGTTGTTCAGTAGTACAAAGCATTTTATTTTTTATACTAGTCGCCAGTAATAGTGTTACTACATTCAGACCTACTGAACAGAGCATAGCATGCACAGGTTCATAATGACCCTTTAATTACCCAGGACCTATTGCACTACTGTTGTATTAGACTTTAGTTGGCTAGGTGTACCTAATAAACCGCCAACTGAATGTATAGTTCAGTGTTGGCTGGTGGGACATTTTCTGATGCAGTCTGAGCTGATCCAGTCATAGTCAGAAATGTGTGCTCTTGTGGGCAGTAAAAGTTGAGGTGTCCTGTTTGTGTGGACATTGTTGTTTCCGACATCTTCTGTTGTTTACTTCTTCATCCCACCTTTTTCATCCTTGTTGAGGTATTGGAGTCGATCCTCATGTTTTAAATTTGCCTGTCTCATCCCACTGCATGTCCTTCCTTGAGAAATAGTTTGACATTTTTGGAACTATGCATCAGTCTTGTCCTCAAAATCATGTCAAGAAAGTAAAGAAGTGTAATATCCATAAATTTTGAGGTATTCTTTTAATGTCCATAAAGTTGTCAGCTGTTTTGCTGTGAAAACATTAAACAAAACTTTGTCTTATCGCAGAAAGAGCGTGACTTGGAGTTAGCAGCTCACATTGGACAGTCACTGCTGAAGAAAAACAAAGCTCTCAGCGAGAGGAATGAAGTGCTGGAGGAACAAATAGAGCACATACGAGAAGAGGTGCATAGCAAGAGTGTTTGTGTGTCTGCTTCTGTATTTGGTGGTGATCAAATGTGAAATGTCTTTATAAATATAAAGGTATTTGTCATTTTATTGGGCTTTACTGGTGGTTGGACATGCTGTCAAATCATTGTTATGGTCTCTGGGTTTGGACCAGTGCAGCTTTAGAGTTGTAGTCATGTCTTCATTTCCTTTGCTTATCCTCTATCCACATCTGCTTCTGTTTTACTATGTATAGGTATCTCAGCTGCGACACGACCTGTCTGTGAAAGATGAGCTGTTACAATTCTATACCATTGCTGCAGAGGAAAGTGAGGGGGTGTCTAACACCTCCACACCGTGAGTATGCTATTCTCTCACCTTTACTCACCTCTCCTCCTCGCTCCTTCTTGAAAAATATTGTGCAGTGCACTTACTGTTTTGTAAGTGATGATGCACTGGCTGACTGACTCATTCTCTCTCACGTGTGTGTGTGTGTGTGTGTGTGTGTGTGTGTTTACAGTGTGCGTCCCACTGAAACCAGTGCATCAACTCCAACGTTTTTCCCCCTGGACTGCTTACAGAAGAAACTCAAAGATCTGGAGGAAGAAAACAAGTCATTGCGATCTGAGGTGCACATTCTGTAGATGACGTCTTGCACACCCACATGCACAATATTTTTATAAGTGGTAATACAGTTCAGCTAACATAGTGTATTCTGCTTTGTTTTCTAATGAAATCTATATTACTGCATGCATTATTCATCCCAGTACAATGACATGTATGCTAAACATTGTTTGTAAAACGATAAAACTCATGTAATAAACAATCTCAAAGGTCAAATCAATAATACAGCACAGTATCAGATGATTTTATTTTTTTTTTTTTTTTGTCAGGCCAGTCATTTGGAGTCTGAAACAATCTCCTATGAGGTGAAAGAGCAGCAACTTGTCGATGACTGTGTCAAAGAACTGCGTGAGTATTTGGCTGACTGCAGCTTTCTTTTTTTCTGGTGACACTTGTGTTGCAGATTCTTACTTCTGCTGAATGTCCGTTCTTGTTCCCAGGTGATGCTAACCTGCAGATTTCCACACTGGCTGAAGAGCTGGCCAGGAAGACTGAGGACACCTCCAGACAGCAAGAGGAGATCACACACCTCCTCTCCCAGATAGTAGACCTCCAGAAGAAGGCCAAGCTGGTATGAAACCCCTGACATTAAACATATACTATGAGTTGTTAAATACCTGCTGCCATTATGCAAATAATTTGTTGGATTAGTACATTATTTTTTCATGTTCTCTATGTGCAACACAGAAGAGACAGATTATTGCAGGTATATTATTTTTTTACACCTGTTGTCGGATTTTGTTCGGGTTGTTTTGCAGTATGCTGTGGAGAATGAGGAGCTGACTCAGCACTTAGGAGCAGCCAAAGACGCCCAGCGACAACTCACTGCTGAGGTAACCGTGGTCTCATCGTTGTATTTTCTGCAACAAATATTAATGGTCCAGGACAAGTGTTAATTTTGACACCTGAATTTGATTCTCTTTTAGTCTTAGTTTGTTTTGTTTTTTTATGAAAATGCATATTAGCTTAAGTCATTTTTAATATTTGCGGTATATCTTTATCCTGGTTGTGTACAGTTACCATGGTTACAAGTGTTGTTCCTGTCTGCTGTGGGGTTTTATTCACACACTGTCCCTTTGCTCTGCAAGAAGTTGGACTCCCTGACATTTGTACTAAAATCTTCTTCACTGGGTTCAGATTAAGAGGTGATGCTAACGTTAAAGCAGTGAGATCTCTGCAGTGAACCTTTAGAGATGATTTAGCCTACATTAATCCTGGAACTGACTGAACACAAAAAAACATCCGACTAAAAAGAACATTAGTGTTACATCTACACCCACAGTGGTTCACATTAAATTGTCCTACCTTTTTGTCGTGAAGTTACTTCCTGTCCATTCGTTCGTCTTTCACATAATCATTTACTTTTTATTCGTTGATGAAAACTGGAAAACATTTCATCATAGTTCTAATTATCAAATAAAATTTTTTATTTAGTTTGTTTCATTTTTATCCTTAAAAATATGTTGTCAATGAATATTTTTCATTATAGTTTTTTGTTAACAAAATGAACACTGTCCAGGGCACTCTACTAGAGAGCCTCCTGTGATAACTAGGTGGCTGGGGAATACTGCCTTTTGTCCCTCCACGCTGATGATAGCTGTGGCTTTAGGCATTGTGTTTTCTCTGCTGTCCATCCGTCTCTTCCATTCTCATGAATGTGAGATCTCAAGAGCACCTTGAAGGAATTTCTTGGAGTCAAGGTTGAGCTGGTTAGATTTTAGTGGTCAAAGGTAACAGTGACCTCATGTCTGACCCATTCCCGCGAATTTACCTGGTTGGCAGAAGCATACAACCTACAATTCTGGTTTTACATTATACTTTGCAATTCTAGCTACAATATTAATATGATCTGGCAGCACTGGATGTGATGTCTAAACTGAATCTGAATGAGGTGTGGATTTGGAATCAAGGCAATTATACACTTAGGTATGGATAAACAGTGCCTCTATATTGGATATCCCATATCTGAATCATCAGCAGCACCTACTGTAAAGCATTTTCCAAAACTCACGTTTGTCTTTTTGCACCTGCTTGATCCTTTCTTCTCCTTCAGTTGCAGGAATTCCAAGATAAGTATGTAGAGTGTATGGAGATGCTCCATGAAGCTCAAGAGGAGCTGAAAAACCTGAGAAATAAAACGCTGCCACTCAACACACAAAGGCGTTTCCATTCTCTGGGCTTGTTCCCCATGGTGAGTGTAGGAGCAGACAACACAGAAGCAGGGGAGATGGTAGAATTCAAGGGAGACGAGGTTCATCATCCTTTAACTTCAGCCTAGCTCTTCGTTGAACTTCGTTTTGCCATTATAAATGTAATACGTTAAACCTACAGTAGCCATAGTAAATGTTAGTAGTGCTTAGATTAACTTGTCTATCTGTATCACAGCAGATTAGGGCCCTACTAGAGACCTAGTAGCTACAGAATGATTAAAAAAAAAAGTTTTGTCTTCTTCTCCAGGACTCTCTGGCAGCAGAAATAGAGGGCACCATGAGAAAGGAACTTCAGATGGATGATCCAGATGTAGAAGAGCAGAGGTACAACAAATATAAAAGCCTGACTCATCCTAACAAGAAGACATAGATTAGATCTGGTGTTATGTTTTATGTGATCATGTGTTCCAGACTTCACCCAAAGCGAGTGTTCCAGACTGTAAAAAACCTCAACCTGATGCGTCAGCAGCGTTCATCACTAGCCCCCTCCCCTCTCAACATCCCAGGTTCCAATCAGACATCATGCTTCACCTCTGGGCGTTCTAGCAGGGTGGGCACCCCTCGCCCCAGCTCCATATATGGCAGTGAGATAGGAAGTGGGATTATTTTGAACAAGACTAGCAGTATTCTGGAGGGTCCAAACGATGGGTATGTTTCTGTTTACAGTTATTTAGTTCTGTCATTGCCATTAATTTCCTCTTTCTCCCTGTTTATCTCAAGTAACTAGGGGGATGCCACTCATACTACCAACTGTCTCTTTCTCCAGGTCAGAGGACTCCAACAGGCACCCCCTTGGTACTCCAGGGACCCCAGGCAGCAAGGACTTGGAGGCAGCCCTGCGGCGTCTGACCCTTCGCCGTGACAACTACCTCTCAGAAAAACGCTTCTTCGAGGAGGAGAGGGAGAGAAAGCTGGCTTACCTGGCCAAAGAGGAGGAAAAAGGAGGGGGGGAGAGTGGCGCAGGCCCAGGGACCCCGACTGACAGCCTATTGTCACTGTACTCATATCCCTCTACAGATTGTAAAGCCGCTAGAAGGTGATTCTTCTTCTGAGAGCCACAAGTCCTCTAATCTTCCACATACTAAAAAAGAGAATCAAAATCAGAGATCCTTACACAATCAAAATGAGATTTTTCATATAAAACAGAATCTAAATACTCCACAATGCTATACCCAGATTTGTCAGAGCCAGTCACACAACCAAGCCATTCAGAAACAGCAGCAGAATGAACACCTGGTTTCACACAGCCACAGTCCGTCTAAAATCTTTTTGAGGACCTTACAGGATCCTGAGAAACTGCAGAGGAGCTCCAGCCTGTTGGAGCAGAGCACGAAGCCTCACCTCAGCGCTCCACTGGCTTTAGGCTCAGGTCTGCTGGAGGTGTTAGAACAACAAGAAGGTGGCTTAAATCTCCAGCACTCTTTTTACTTCAGACACACACAGCCACGCTGCTGGTTTGAAGTATAGAACACTAGGCAGCCTGCTGTGCACACAGCAGTGCTCTGCTTTAAAGCACAGAGTTTGTGAAATACACAGTGACCCCTCACATGTCACATAAAGATTTGTGTTATCTTTTTTCAAGGCGGACTTGTTTTTTTCCTTATATTTGATAAATATTACTTCATAAAGTATCTTAATGTGACTTTAGTGGATGTGAGAGCAATAACAAGTACAGTATTTGCTGTCAGATATCCACATAATGGTGCTGTTATCTAATAGCTACAGAGCAATTTATGGCACCTAGGACAAAGTTTTGTCATAATGTTAGTGGCTTGGTCAAAAAAGCAACAACAGTTTTCAAAACCTGAAGACATTTTGTTAAGAATGAACATGTGCCATCTGTAATTTACCATATATGTTTTAAAATATGTCCAGGGGAAACTAAACCTGAAAAACTGCTTTCACTGAGAAAATTCCTTTTTGTGGCCCCACCTAGTGTTCAAACTCAGTGGCTACACCACTTGTGAAAGGTGCCATCTCAGCACCAGATAATGTTCTTAAAGTAAGACGTACAGTATGATTCATATTAGGGGTGTGACAATACACTTAGCTCATGAGACAATACACGATAACGAGATCTCATCACATCCCTTGTACATACATAAGAATATTGTGTTGCTTTTAGAATGACAGGACGTGACAGCGTTTAATTTCAAGTCTAATGAGAATCATGAAACCCACTGAACACACACAACAGCATTCTTACACAAATTTCTAGTGCTACATTAGTGCCATACGATGACTGTCCACCTCATTCACTCATTTGTTTGCCGTTCTTTTCTTCACTTCTGTTGTCTTTTGTTTGCACTTTTGTTTCTGTTCTACGTGTTTCCTTTGTTGAAGACTTCTCAAATAAAATGTTACTATTTTTCTCACCTTCCTTTTTCCTCATTCTTACTGTGTTAGTCCTATGAATTTGTGACATTGCTCACAGAACTTACATGTATCATGGAAAAGCCAACCATTCACTGGACTTGAAATTAGAAGAGTGTACACATAATGTAGGTACCCAAACTACTGTGCCATGTCATTCATTGTCACTGCAGCGTGTACGAGAGTCTGTACTATAAGAATGGAACAATCTAAGAATATGTCTTTGCCTGTCCTGTCCTGTCTGAGTACAGTGACCTGGACTGTGTGACTGTTACAAGCATGATTTCGTCCTTGCGGGTCTGTGTGCATGCGTCTCTGCTATAAGCTTGCCTATCTATATACAGTGTGTCCTCCAGTAACAGCCAAAGTATGTTTAAACACATCCATGACATCGGTAGGCCTACATACAGTATAGTGCTCTTGTCATGCAGCATATGATACTGTAATACAATACTTGTAGCAGTTAGCTAAGACATGGACCCGTGTGGCAGATGTGATTTGCCAACCTCTTCTGTGCTCTTCACCAACATCACTAAAGTCACAAAGAAAATGCATGTTTGACATTATTGAAACCTGTTGTCAAACTGGTATACATGATGACATCAAATCAGTTTTAGCACAGTGCTGAGAGCAGTACATTATTGACACCATGAATTTGTGGCAGAGAGCAGCTTAACATAGATGTGAACTTTTTTTACCTTTAATTCCAGGCTCTGCGACACTCCATGCATGGCAGCAGTTGGCTCAACCCCACATGGGCGCTCTGCTGGATCATCGTCCTGGTGTGATCACGAAAGGATTCCACACTTTACCGCACGAGCAGGCACAGGAAGCCAGCTGGCAACTGGACCAGCCAGAGGAGGATGAAATCTGTGACTCGTTTACTGGCTTATCAGGAGAAAGTTTGGCTCCCTTGGTTCTGCCTCACTCTACCTCTACTCCCTCTATCTGCTGTAACAAAAATGGTGACAATGATGACGATATCCAATCAGAAACACTGCATGGGGAAATGTGCAGGGCTAAAGATGCGATTCAAGGAAAAGACATTGGAACCTTGCCTGCTGAGAAGACTGCACTTCCCTTCTCCAACCACTTCCCTTCCTCTTCTTCTGAGATAATGAACGGGCACGTGGACCTCCAGGAGGAGCTCCAGGCCATACAGCCTACCACAGCGGACCACATGCCCGGTGAGGGAGCTTCTTAGCTACATCCACCCTCCATTGTAACCCTGGAGCATGGGGATAAAGGGGAGGGGGTGGGAGGGTGAGGTTCTGGGGAAACCACTCACTGGACTCTCAAAACCCCAATGTGATGTCTCTGTCTGCATGATCACGCTCACGTGTAACCACTTCAACACCCCCTCATCCCACTGACAGTCCTTGTGTGTGCAGCCAGCGAACCAAGTCAAAACTGAGTACTTATTTTATTTTTTGTTCCTTCTTTTACTTCAGCTGACATCTTTGTAGTTCCTTTCTCAGTTCACACTTTTTCCACGGTCACACTTTGCTTTATTTCAATGAATCACATTTTTTTTGCTATGCAATTCTATCCTCTTCAACCAGCTCCTCTAAAGTCGAACTTTAATCTTATAAGTGCAGGTTATTTTTATGGTGTGTTGTTTCATTAGCTTAGTTGGTACTAAGCTAGCAGTATTAGTGTTAAGATTCAGTTTATTTCTTCTAACATTCAACACAGAGACATCAGTGTACCACACAGACAGGGATACCTTGGCTGAGGTCTAGCTTGTGCTCACATGTGTGCATGTGTCTGTATTAAGCTGAATTGGTGCAGCTGTCCAAGTCACATAAACATGACACAGTGGATTAAGTTAGTGGCTTTGGTCTGGGTCACCTTTGCACGCACACACAATACTCTTACTTGGTGCTGGATAATATTCCTCAAAGTTTAAAAAACAGCCACATTCAGCCAACATGTAGGGTATAGCCCTTAATGATGTTGGTAATTACTTGAATACTATTGAAAGTAAGATTCGATTTCACAGCTTCCTCTTTACAATATCTGTATTTTTCTTTTTACTTGGTACAGTACAGTTTACATGGGAAGCCATGCCAGATCCACTGTGTATTATATCTCAACATTACCTAACTCAGAGGGCATGCAGTGCACATCCTGCCATTGCTTTAATATCAGAAATTAAGGAGCAAATGTACTGTATGCTGCAGCTTTTTCTTGGGGCTTATACTATGATTATGGCCTGTTTTCCCCCCACTTTGTTGTGTGAACATTTATGCATTGAGGTTTGATGCATTGCCTCAATACTAATTGTCTTCTGTTACCTTCCCTCACTTCTCCTCTTGTCTAGTTAATTTCCCAGGGAAGTGTCTGTCCCATACTAGCTCCACATACACCTTCACCACCTGCAGGATTCTCCACCCCTCTGATCAGCTGACCTCTGTGTCCCCGAGGTAAACATCTTGACAGCTTTCTATTACTGTTGTACTCTGTTGTTTTAAAATGCTGTGTCAGTAGGAAAATTGCTTTGTTCTTGGTTTGTACAACTGCTACTTAAAAGTGTAGTGAAGTATTGTGAACACACGATGGCAGCAGTCATTTCTCACCTACCAAAGGTTGTGTTATCTCTTTACCAAGTGGCTCACTGAGGAGGAAACACTACTGATAAATCTGGTGTTAATAAAAAGACCTGCATTGAAAATTAATGAAGTTGTAGGGTAGTAACATTTACAGTCGGTGTTATGTGACTTGAACAAAGTCTCCACTGTGTATTCTAAATCAGTAGCAGTCAATCAATACTGTTTCTCTCAGCCGAGAAGCAAATCGTCCCCCTCTGTTCTCCTCGTTAGATTCTGAAGCAGGGCGACTTTAACCTCACAGCATCTGGCTCATACTCTCCATGTCCCCGCTGTCTGACTGGCATTGACAGGTCATGTGATGAGGAAGATGAAGTGGAGTTGTATCGTGTGGTTGTCGTGGCCGCTGTAGAACAGACCCATTGAGTGTACCCTCTGGTGTGCACATGGGTGAGAAAATGTGTTGGAGTCCATTCATCAAAACTGTGCTGTGTGTAAAGCTGAATAATATTAGCAAATTGCCCTAACTCTCCAGATAGTCATAGCCTACACTTGCCTCTAATCAACATGTTTCCTACTAACAAATCAGCTTCTGACTCAAAGCTTTGACTCCAGTCACTGATCAAATCTAACATTGTCAGGATTTGACTATGGATTCCTTCTTTCGTGACCTTTGGGATCAGTATATGGTAAAAAGAAACTGAGCACAAAGGTCTGCCTGTAGCTTTCAAGTACATTTAATTCATTAGATGGAGCTGGCTCAGGCTTTGTCACATGACATGAATCTGGTCCTGTGTTTAGGCGATAACAAGTGGTCATGGGGAGAGATTGTAACCCTGTCCTAATTCAGTGATGGTCTTTGGCAGAGGATTTAAGCTCTTCTACTGACACACCCAAAAGGACGAAGGACCCTGGAGACGAAGACTAAAGTGGTGTATGACAGAATACACAGCAGCTGTCTGAACCCCAGAACCAGTCACTGCATCACACTGAAGGAGGTTATTGGCTAGAAGACAGTAGATGGCAAGAGAAAGATGGAGGAGGCCATTCACATCCAATGTCAAAGGCCGACCTTGAATTGATAAAAAGTTTACTGTTCACAAGGGCCAATTAAAGATTTGATGAAGTCTCAGGCAGCTCCAATCACTGAAAACCAATGTTCACATCTCAGTTTACAAAACACAAAAAGAGTTTCATGCATGGCTGTGTTTTAGATAAATGGTATTAGGGGTTGGACGGTTCACAAAATTTTGCAGTCACGGTTTACAGTATGGTTCAGTATGTTTTTGGTAAAGCAGGCAGAGAACGTTAAATGATTGCCTTAAAATCCTGGCTAAGACCATAAGGAACATAAACAAGTCTTCACTGTCAACATAAAGTGCAGCATAAACCACATGAACACTGCTCATTTTATTTTCACGTTCCTCTGTAAGATGCCGAGTTTGTTCACATTCTCAGGCACAAGACAAGTTCTGCTTACAGTGCAGTAACACTGTACCCTGCTGCAGAGAAGACTCTCGCTCAGTAAAGCTGTAGCCAGAACAGCAAGGTAATGTTGTTTTATCCAACACTAGATTTCTTTATTTTTTTTTATCATAAACAGATAGAATTCCATTTTGTCAAACTGACACTGTGTGTGTAACAGGTGTGTCACCCCTGCTTTTTTTTTTTAAGCTTCAGGTTTATTTTTCCTCTGGCACATTTAGTGAAGCATAATCTCCACAGACAGCTGTTTAAATACCTCAGATCCTTAGTTATTTTCTGTCCAGTACATTTTACTGTCGATTAGTCTGGTGAAAACTGTCCTGCTGACAGACAGACAGGTGTTTTGATGAGCTGAACACACAGCTCGCATCTCGTCTTGCATTCAGAAACAAAGCTAGTAGATCTTCTAACTGTACTTTGTTTTGTCCACTTGCCATTTATAAGACTGACTGTTAGCTGCAGATTTTTCATATGTGCCCTTGTTTTATTGGGTTATTGGTGCAAAGCTTTTCTCCTAAAAACGTTTTCTGCATATGTCTCAATCTATTTCAAATGAACCGAACAATACATACATGCCATGAACCGTGACTAGTGAACTGAACAAGTCAGATATTTTCCTTGAACCGTCCCACCTCTAGTGTCTTTGTACTGAAACGGTTTGAGTCTTGATTGTCATGAAAGCCAAGTAAGTGTGTTAGTACACTCAATGAAACTTTTCTTCTTTTCTTCTCTGCATTTTCAGCCCAGCTCTGGCATCTTGTCAGAGTTGTGCTTATACTGGTACCCCCACCTCCACTTCCTCTCCTATACCTGTCTCTGCCCCACATACACCTTCCTACACCCCGTGCTGCACCCCACGTCGCCTCTCCCTGTCTCTTTCCATTGCTGAGTCCTCTACCAACCTTAGGGACTCCACCAAGACCACCAGCACCTCTCTAGGCCTGGTACGCCTCCTGCTAGAACGTGGGATCTCCGCCTCAGTGTATAATCCTCTCAGCTGGGACCGTGGCCTGGATGCCAGTGGAGCTTCAACACCCGTGGGAGGAGCGCAGACTCCAAGGTGCACCGACAAGTCTGGGGATACAGATGACAGATGGCCAAGGAAACGCCCAGACTCTCTCCTCCTACAGCCCTCCACCCCAACACACTCCCCTCTCTCTAAATCTGATTCTGCTACTAACACGTGCCCTGTTTTTCAGTTCAGCCCTGCTGCTGATGACCCGCCATACTACGACACCTTCCTTGCCTCTAAACCGGCTCGTATTATTCTGAGGGAAGTGCTGGGGGAGGCAGAGAGGGAGCGAGGGGGGCAGACAGACGATGAAGATGACAGCCAAGCTGAGATGCTGAACCTGCGACTTGTGGATAAACTGAAACGTTTCCACACCCTCTTGCCTCTCTCTGCTTCGGTTTCAACTGGGCGTACTATGTTGGCTCCCTTTGGCTCCAATGGAATGGTGAACAGTGCACTGAGTGGGGGGCTTTCAGGACTGAACGCAGGGCTGAGGAGGAATCGAAGCTATCCTGCCATGGTGGGTGCCAGTATGGCTATGAAAGACCCAGGGGGCCCCCCAAGCACAGAGATAATCATACCACATGCGATGCAAACCCCAAATACACAGAACAGAAAAATGAGCAAAAAGCAAACAAATCACACACTGGTCACAAAGGACATACACATGCCACAGACACTACATGCACCGGAAACTGTCACGCCACAGACGATAATACAGAGACACACCAGGCTAAATGATGAGCTGCAGGATTCACCAAGCAAGGACCGACACAGTGACGATGCAACTGGGACATAAACAGGCAACATCCAGTATCTTAGCCCATATTACAATACAACATCACATCATGGCTAAACGTACACAAAACCAAATACCTTATGTAGCTACACAGACACCCTTCAGCTATAGAGTCCCTATAGCTACACAGATAAACAATCCAGTCCACCCCAGACTCGGATAGTTACTCCGCTTACTAAACAGTCACCAGTCTGATCAGGGTCAACTAAATGAAGTGGTGGTGAAATAACCAGTAGAGGCTCAAACAGTTACTGTGGTATCCTAACATACTGTCAGACCAGACTAATGATGATGGAGTATGTTGCCTTCCTCTGTGTTCATTGTAACTGTATGCAATATGCTGTGTCATATATGGTGTAATATTAAAGGCCAAATCTAGTGAAAGTACTGCAGAGCTTTTCGTTCAACCTGTTTTTATTCTCAGTCTGTGCACAGTGGCAAAAAGGCAACACATGAATTTGAAATGTATCATACTGGCTCAAATATAACAGTGTTTTTTCTTGAGAATGTTGAAAAAATGGGCATTGTATATTACAAGACTACAAAATTGAGCATTTATTAAAGCAGATTTTACTGTTACTTTAATAAATTTCAGTGTTGTGGGTTGTTTATAGCCTTAATATCACTAAAGTTTCTGCCATGGTATTACAACCAAAAGATTTACAGAAAGCATTTTCCCCATTAACAACCCACATAAATGACATCAGCAAAGTGCTGTAAAACAGGACACACAACAACCAAGGTCTTTTTAGCTTAGGGGTTCCAACTTTAACAGCTGATATGTCTATAACCTCTGTCAGCACACACAAAGTCTGATTTATATAACCCCTCATGTCATCCCAGTGTTCAGTCTGTGCGAGCTAGCAGGGCCAGGCAAATTTCAAAAACAACCAAAGCTCATCTAAAATGTTTCCATCTAAAAAGGTTTTCTTGTTATATCCGGGCCACTATGGTATTTTTAAATCTTTAATTGTTTGTGTCTACATTGTCTTGCACTGGAGTTAAATGCAAGTTTTAATGTCACATGCAGGGGCATTTGCACTAGAGATTATTTTCTACCAGGAACTCATTTCCCCCCTTTAAGTATGTAATCTGTACTGTATTTTCAAAAAATTCAGGATTGGGGCTTTAATGTGTCCTCTGGCTGTGACTGAATGTTCTCATGTGCCTAAAAACAGATAACATACTGTATGTTTTTGGAATATGGATTTGTACTTGTTTTATGTGATTAATATTTTTTATTTGCCATAGCAGGCATGTAGTAGAGAATGTAAATGAGAATAATTATGAAAATTAATGTATTTGCATCTGAACATGCTGAGGGAACCCTACACGTGCTCGTTTGTGTCTATTTTTGCCTCCTAACGAGTTTGGATGAAGCGTCCTCTTGGATTAGAATCCACAGGGACATGTAACACATGCAGTAGATGGTGATACAGAACAGGTCCCGCTATGCAGACACTGACTATAGAGAAACATATGGCAGACCTGCAGAGAGCACAAAACCTGAGTTTTCCTCCCACTTTGGTACACCTCCATTTTTTTTCCATACTCATCTTTCTAGTCAGTCATCAAAGTGGCACAGCATGGGTGCAAACATCCCAATCTGCATAAATCTGCCTATACCACATTTTCCACCCAAATAAAGGCTGGTTGGGACTAAGACACAGAACTGAAGTATGTCTTTTTTTTGCAAAACAGATTTTAATCACACAAATTCTTTCTGTATTGACAAAAAAACCTGGCTCATATGCATATGCCATATCATTTATTTTGTCAAACTAAACCAAGTGTGTTGGTGTAAAAAGCAAAGCAATATTAGGCGTTGTGCCACTTGTATGTTTCTGAATGCAACTGTAAAAAGTGTCCAAATGTTGGTTTTAAGAGCAAGAGATTGAACTTTTTTCTGGTATAACCGTCCCAGTCCCAGTTCCAGTTTCTGTCCCAGACATTTTATCCACTTTCTTACCGGGCTATTTGAAAAGACAGCAACTAACTTAAAATTTGATTTGATTAACCTAAGAATGAAAGCTCCACTGAAACACCTTTGCACAGGTTGCCCAATTCCTCCTACTGTACAGCATTTTGATCCCTTGCACCATGTACTTGGGCGCTTGTGCTGATCGCGCAGGTCTGAGCACTGGGACTGGGCCTCTGAGTGACGAATGAATGGACAAAATGGCTGGCTCCGATGCTGGCAGTGATCGTTTGAAATCCTTAATGATTAAGGGGTTAAACTAGCTATGCTATCAAGAAGGAGATTAATGATTATTAGAAGCCAGCATATACATGAAAAGCCCATAGTACATGTTTAAGAAATTGGTTTTGCAGCTTTTGTTTAAATTCTGAACTGTTACTGACATTTTGAATCATTTTTCAATTTCAGTCATTACGGTTACAAGCTAAACATCTAGGTGGCAAAGAAATAGATGCCTTTAAACAATGGGTACCCTTATTTGTTGCCATTACTTCATTACATCTGCACAAAATTCTCAGTGTTTAATAATGATATCAAGTGCTAAGACTGGAGGGACAAGGAGTTGGTCTCTGTCTGCGTGTACAATATGTGCTTGTTTTTGTGTGTGCCACTTGAATCGGAATGTGCATTGTAAATGTATGCAGCACATACTGTATAGTCATGCTAACTTAAAAAAAATAAACAAAGACAAAGAATAAAGTTTATTTTGAGTGAAGGAGGGACAAAACCTTTCTGTGCAGAGACTAAAGTGTTCTTTTCTACAGAACAGACTGTAATGTCAATAAAAAATAAATACATGACAATTGTTTTCCTTATTAAGCAAAAATGTTCATGTTCAGCCTCTCCTGTTCTTCTCACAATGCTCAGCTGGCTCCCTGTTACAGCTGACATTTGATAAACATCAGTAAAATTCAACCTTACACTCCAACATGACCGCTGTACTCCTCCACCTGTGCTGCCTCAGCCTCCTTTGATTATAAATAAACCACTAATGCCACAAGCAGTGACACTGAAAGCTTTATAGACTCATCTACAAATAACAGCAAATTTCCAGATGGCTAATAAAAATGTTATAAATTCTGTAATACAACAGCATGGTCACCCGAGTGCGTATTGATATGGTTATTGGCTCCTGTGAATATTCACAGACTGGAGTGCAGCAAGTTACTTTTTAGTGCCCGCCATTTCTGTTACACTTATAATCCACAGGGAGGCAGTGTGGATCAGAGAACAGACTGGACAGCTGGTGTAAACACAAACCACAGCCAACTCTAACCCCCCAGAAGAAATCAAACCAGCTTTGAAAGATTTACAAAATGCACCCATTGTTGGTCTAGCAAACCCATGTGTCTGCCTCTTTGCTTCAGAATGAAGCTCAACAGAGCTTTCTCCTCCATCGTGTCTTTCCTACAGGCTGTTGCAGTGAGGAACCAGACATGTAACCCTGCTCACTGCACTAGCACTGCCCTTCTGTTCAATTATAAACTAATTAAAGCAGCAAAGGACTGAGTGTGACTGGTGGATATTTGAAACTTAGATATTATGTACTTGGTGCATCTTACTGCATTGGCAAGCTAGAGGGAGACAAAACACCTGACTGTACAGACAGCCTGAAATAAAACAGTCTTAAAGAACAAAAATTTATCACAACTTTGTGCTCTTTCTTAAAACTGTGAAAGTAGAGACACAGAGTGAGAGATGAAAGAGAGGCAATGGAAACACAAGAGTGCTCTCTACCTGAATGACAGAGAGAGAGGGAGGTGGAAATGAAGAGGGGGGCAGATGATTAATACGCAGTAATAGATGTTAGTGAAATGGTTTTCGATGCTTGGTGGAGGACTAGCAGGTGTGTGTGGTCTCAGAGGGAAAATGAGAAGATTCTGCAGAGCTGAGTCAGCCAGGACAGAGGAGACAAGGTAAAGGAAGTACAAACGACAGAAGAATGGTAAGATGGAGGAGAAAACCTTTCCACTGGCATGCCTTGGTTAGGTTAATATTAGTCAGTCCTTCATATCTCATAATCTGTGGAAAAAGGTAATTGGATGTAGGGAGAACACAGCAGACTATACAATTCTGAAAATCATTTGTACTGCAAACCCAGTGACCATAAAGCAAAACACAAACTCACAAAAGGCTCACTGTCTCTTTTATCAAACGGTACTTTAAAGTACAGAACACAATCCAGGAGCAGACCTTAAAGCTGATTCATCCAAACTGTCACTCTCACACACATGTGCCCTGAAACAAAGCGTCTCTGAATCTGCACCAGGATCAGCTACTTCAGCTGCTATGTATGCAAAGAATATTCAAGAGGCTCTTGGGCATGGAATAATTAACATCAGCTTGGAAAGAAGGTCCACTTCAGGGACAGGATGTGTGGTGAAGCGCGATGGGCCGCAGAACCAGAGTCATTCAGCAATGCTCTGTTGCTGACTAGGAAGAGGGGATATGTTTGGCTTGTGAAATCAACTTAAATGCTACCAGAAACCTCAAACATAACTTCATGAGACTTAATAAGATTATTTGATTTATTTAGACAATATCTTTTATGGTATCAAACTGTTCATTTAATATTTGAAGCACTTGTTTATGTTATTTCTGTGGAAAGGCCTCAGGTCATTTAGCTTTACTGAATCCAAAGGCTCTAGGACTGCACATAAGGACTTTCAGTGGGCCCCTGACATTTCATCTAGCATCACTTTTTTGAATTCAGTAAAGCAGACAAGAATCAATTCTCCAGAAACCATAGTTCATACAAAAAAATACTCAAGGGGATTTCCTTAGGGGATTTCGGGGGCGGCTGTGGCTCAGGAGGTAGAACGGGTCATTTCCTAACCGGAGGATTAGCGATTCGATTCCCGGCTTGTCCAGTTAATTAACATGTCGAAGTGTCCTTGAGCAAGACACTGAACCCTCAGTTGCTCTCGGTGATAACACGGCACAAACTTTTGTACATCCATTCATTGTTCCCAGATGATAAACCTTAGGGTTTTAGTGATGCTGACCACCAAGAAGCTGAACAAAAGTTTAGATGGTTTTAATTGGGATATCTCAACAGCCATTGAATGTCTGAAACAAGTAGAGTATGGCAACCAATTCATATCCCCCACATAATAAACCTTTGTCTCACCTAACACATGAACTAACATTACTTTTATAGTAAACACTATGTTTAGAATCCTAAACATAGTGTAAGCATTGTCACTGTGAGCCTGTCGGCAAGCTAAAACCAACTAATTTTGACCCCACAAAACTAGTAGCAGAGTGTCACACAGATTTTTTTGCCTGATTAGCAACCAAGCTAACCAAGGAACAGACAAAGCAGCATGTAGAATTTCTTCCCTGTTTTGAGGGCATTGTGCACTGTAGCTGATAGTTTCATTTTCTACTAACGAACAGCACATGCTTTGTTGTGTTACATGTCCATATCAAGCATATTTTAATATTTCATGTGAGGCGTGATTAAATTTACTGTTTGTAATTGCAGATTCATAGTTTTCTCTGGATTGGCACTTCACAATTGTTATTCTCATTTATGTTAAGGTAGGTTAATTAAACTGAGTGGCTCATTTTATATTTCTCACACACAATGAATTGAGGGTTTTTTTTGTCCTTTTTTCCTCCTGTCTGAGGTCAGTCCTCTCTGATGGTGGATCAGAAGTGTGAACTGTGAGAGCTGAATCTTTTTGTCCCCATAAGGACGTCAAGTCCCCACAATACATGTCAGAGTGAATGTATGAGATAAACATGGTTTCTCTGAGTGATACTAATTATTCAATGCAAGTGTTTAATAGTTTCTAGGCCTATAATTATATTACTGATAGTAAAAGTCAAGATGAAACTGATGACTTAACATCATAGCTGTTAATCAGTCAGAAGGCACTTAATGATCAAAAAACATTTTTATACATTTATCATATGGACAAACAACTATTTAGGAAATCACCTGGTGCTAATATAGATTTTTACACTAACTTCTAGTTATTATTTAGTTTTCATTCAGTTTAATGACAAAGTGTAAACATTTTGAAAGTGGCCTGGGACACAGTACAGAAAAAACTTAAAAACTGGGCGCCAAACTCTCTGCCCCTGATGCTTTTAAAGAAGACAAAGAAAGACAGCGATCTCTGCACAGCCTGACTAAATGTTTGTCCGTGACTCTGGGTACTCTCAAACTGGGTCAGTAAATGTGGCATCTGACTGTGTGAGAGCTGAGCAGTCATTTCACATCCTCAACAATTACACATTTAAATGAAGTCAAATTTAAAATAAAACAGTTCTTTCTACAGTATTTTTAATATGCGTTACTACAGAGCTCCTGCGGTTTCTTTTTGCTACATACTTTATGTCCTCAGTTCACCATGCATTTATTCCGTGTTTGCATGTCCAGTAATACTACTGTTCCTCAGGCAAAAACACTATGGGCATGAATCTTCTAATTTCTGTAAATATGCTTCAGAAAAAAGCTCTTGAAAAAAGTCATGTAAAGTGCCTTGTTTCCCCCCTTTCCAACCATTTATCATAAATATATTTAGCATTATGGTTTAGTTTGGTCACCAGAAACAAAATGTATCAAAAGTTTGACAACTAGCTAGCTAGCTTGAGGAAACACTAGAGCAGAGCAGCAAAACGTCTGAGTTTTACCGTTTCTGAAATCAACCTTTCATTTGTCAAAGACAAAATTATTATTATTATTGTCCCATTTTAAACCATTAAACTCAGTCCTTACAACTGCACTACTTCACTACTGCTTGAATGTGTTTTGGAGTTCTTCTATGTTGCAAATCCCAGAAGAGCATCAGCATGTTGAAACATCAGCTCTATTAAAAAAAAGCACCTTCCATCTCCTTTATTTTTATGCCTCCATGCCTGCAATAGCCACTGCTGGGTCCGACTTGTGATGTGATTATTATGTATTAGGTCACTGTGTTTGATATCCTGCACAATTCCCCTGTAGAGATTTTTTTTTTAGCCCTGGCACAGGTCTGACTGTGTCGCTGTCATTGATCCAGACAGTTGAACTGTTTTATGAGTTCTGTGTGATGGAGTGAATTCAATGCCTAATGTGAGAAGTAAAACACAAGCCATTACCCAAAATGCTGCTGTCTTTAGAGAGCATTTTTCGCACTTTTATGTAATTGCTGTAATATTGTAATTGCTGTAATATTGTAATCGCTGTAATATTGTGATTGTTTGAGCACGAGATGATCACCTCAATTTATTCATGGTTGTTTACTTGAGCAGCAACATTATTCATGTGATTAGCACCAGGTCCTGAAGCAACAACAAAAAATTAATGTCATCCACTACTGTGAAGTCATCTTCCTCCTCTCTTCCTCTGCTCCACTCATTACAGTTTGATGGTGACATTTTTAACAATATTTACATTCGGTTATTAGAATTTGCCAGACAGCAAATTGAATCAAGCAAAATCACACAGCTTTGCATTACTCTCAGTTTGCCTGGGAAGCATCAGATGCTATCAGGTTTTACAAGATGAAACCATTTTGTTTTTTCATCCTGACAGTTTGATACTGATAATAATCTGAATGGCAACAAAATAATTAACATAACACTTAAACCATAATCAAATCTCACCATTTGTGCCATGTTTCAGCTTTTCTCTATGACGGAGTGGTATCATTGGATTAAATTCCAAATGACTGAAAAGAGCCATGGAATCATTTCCAGATGCTTTTTAAATTTTAGTACATTACTCTGGCTGTGAACAAAACAGAGAGGGTACCTCTGGATGTGGCACGCTAACCTCCTCGCTGTAGTAAGAGTTTACAAAAGGCACAAA